AAGATATTTGTATACATGCATTCCACATCGAAACTTACCAATAAGTTCGTTTCTTCAAGTGCCATGTTTTTTATTTTTTGAGAACATTCATATGAATCGTTCACCGTGTATGATTGCCTCTCATTTAATGTCTTGAGTTTCAAATATATAAACTGCTAATTTGTGTTGCTCCATACTAATTGTTGGCTATCAACTTCAGTGGCTCGCCTTCTTTGTGTATCTTCGGTAATCCATATGCTGTTGGTGATCGTGCATCGTTTTACTTTATTCTCCATGAGTCAATTTTCCCGTTACTATGCGTATCTTCCAGCATGTCACTTAAGATTCAATTTATCTTCATAGTTGGGTCCTTGTTTAGTATACGATGTGTGGTCCTGTCTCATAGAATATGTTCCTTTTTCTAGGTATATTGTTTTTTTGTCCATTATCACTGTAGCTTCTCCTTTGTCCGCCTGAAGGACTAATTGTTTTTTCGTTTTCAGGATTTTGCGTATCTTGGAAAATCTGTTCCTGTGTTGGCTTCTGATGTGTCAAGATCTTTGGAATTAGTTCTCTCTCTATTTCCCTTTTTGTCTCAGGGAATTTGTCGGAGAAATTGATAACCTCCAACAGGATTTCGGATAGAAGGCTTCTGTCTTGTTGGATTGAAAAATAGAGTCATGCCGTTTTGTCATTAAGTTAGAAATCCTACATAATTTCCTGTCGGTTATGCTCTGGAGTTATTGAATATTTTCCGAAGACAGGGTCCTTGCTAGATCACGCCGGAGTCTACGATTTATTATGTATTGTTTAACTTTTCAGTATTTTTTAGTTTTAGACCCCTTTTTATCAAATCCGCTTCTATATTCCGAATCCTCGACGTATTCTGGCTACTTGCTTAAAGGGTTTGCTTAAATTTCTACCAACTCGGGTTTCAGATGGTGTGCTCGCTAGCTTAATTAGTTTCCTTGATATATTTGTATCGGCAGGATATATATTTCATCAATCTTTCTTTTCCGGTATTGGATTGGAATTGAATTGGAAATATTTAAAATTAATGGTTCTGGTCCATTTTTTTTGATAAAGATTACCTTATTTTATTCTTCCACACATTGTCAGTTTCCCTATAATTAACTCCTTAATCTATAATTCTATTTCAGGATGAACAGAAGCTACGACCCCAAAGTTGTGTAAACGATCAACATCCTCCGACCTACACCTCTGCGTCCATCATTCTCACAGCTGATGGTCCATCCCCTCAATTGTCAGACAATCTTCCCTGTGAAACACGTTTGCTTTCTTCCACCCCATTTGAAATTGAGGACGATCAGACGCAAAATCGTTTACACTCTTATAATCGGGCAACTCCAGTTGCGCCTAGTGGCCTCCCGTTCTCGCCACCAATGTCAAACACCTCTGGCGAAGAACCCCTTACTCATAGTTCTGGAAAAGATGGTCAAGCTAGTGCTTCTTTCCCTCGTCCAATAGTGGCTACCTCGCAATCATCTGATCTCGAGCCTCCTTTTCACGGAGACGCGAATTCGCCTCCAAGCGTTTCACATGATGACAAGCAGGTAGCATTAGGCCTAGGAAAGAAAACAAAATCCCAAAAACATATTCGGAGACGTGAACATAAGAGGAGCCGCAGCCGCAGTCGAACTCTTGGGTCGCCTGTTCCTGAAGATCGCAGCTCATCGGGTGACTCAGAGAAGCAGGGTGCCGATTATACCACTTCGTCAGCTTCTCGGGATTCTTTATCATCAATCGGGAATATCAATTCTATACGTTCGGATTCCCCGAAAAATGTTGATCTGGAAGCAAAGCTTGTTTTACAAAGTATTTTAACTTCACAATTCTAATACCTAAGCGTCTTTTCATTATTTTCGTGCCTTTCATTTAGATCCATAAGCTAATACAAACTAGCCATATGTATTTAACATTTTTCTGAAATTTTTTTAGATCCTACTGTATCAGTTAATTCCAGTCAGTCCATTGAGTCAAGTTCATCTGATCTACTTTTTGCCAAACCTTCCCTATTCGAACCGGCGAAATCTGTGCCAGTTCAACCCATCCCACTTGCGCCTGGTCATCTGGCTAGTCAGCCGTCACCGTCGCCCTTGTCCTCCTCCAATCTCACTGCAGTCTCAACTAAAGCAAATGTTCAGCTACACAGTACAACTTCAACTTCATTCAGTACATGTACCAGCGAACCCATCTTTAGGTCGCTCGACCAGCATTCCCTCCGGCCACCACCAGTACTTACGCACCCCATTCCTACCTTAGATTTGTTTATATATTTGTATATAAATACCATATGACTTAAGTAGTAGTTTTTTAGCGCTAATTATTTGATGATATTTGTTTTCGGACATAATTTGGCTGGCTAAATGCATCTTTTGAAAACTCAGGATTAAACTTAGTTTTAGCTGATACACTACACTATACACTTCTGAAGCACTACAACTTTAGTGCTTCAGTAGCTTGTTTCCATACAACTTATGAGAGAAAACTGGAATTCTCTACTGATGCATCTGTACCAGACACTCACAATCTATGTTAAGTGCTTCTCAAACAGGAGCGTAGTTTTCTGTCTGTCCAGGGTCATAGGAGAGCGAATTATAACGTCATAAGGAAAGGTGACGATTTCAAAAGTCGGGTAATTGCGTTTTTTCACCGCTTAATTGTTTTCGAGTTACATAAACCCAATGTTTGCATACCCAAAGATCATATTTTATATGATCTTTGTTCATTATTTATCAATAATTTACTTGAGGTTTATCTTTTTAGCTCGTTGATTCGGCGGGATACCGTATTTCTAGAATGATCACTCCACTTTCTCAAGCCTCTCGACCTCTTCAGCTTGGTTCCCTCTGTGGAATGACTCCTGGATGCTCAGGTCCTTGTCCTCCTGGGATGCTTGGCTCTTCTCATCCACAGGCTACAGTGCTCATGACTAGTTCAGCTTCCTTACCTCCAGGCCCTATCGCATCTTGGTCAGTGGGTGACGTGGCAACCTTTGTCAGCAACACACCCGGCTGTGTTGCCTATGCTGCAGCTTTTCTTACCAACGAAATCGATGGTGAAGCCCTTCTTCTATTGGCTGAGGATCAGTTTATCGTCCCTCCTATTGGCATGAAAGTGGGTCCCGCTCTGAAGTTATCCGCCCGTCTCGAGGAGGTTCGCAGAGATCAGGACAGAGCCCATATATAGATACCAACCACTCCAGCATCAATTAACATTGGAATATTCTTTCCTACTCTTGCTTCATACCATCGCAGCCAAATTCAATATGTTCGTTCAATGCCATTTCATAACGCAATTTTATACCTTTTCGAACTATCGTTATCC